TCCCCATCTTAAAACACATCTCAGTTCCCACTATTGTTCCCTCGCTCGTACTCCCTTTACTACCAAGACATGTCATTATACAACACATGTCCCTCACCTGTACACCATCTACCAACACCCTCTTCTACCAACACATGTCACTATCAACCCATGTCCTCTCACTAAAAAATGTACCCCATCTACCAACACATCTCACTATCAACCCATGTCCCTCACTGTAAACCCCATCTACCAACACATCTCACTATCAACCCATGTCCCCTCACTGTACCCCATCTTCCAACACATGTCACTACCCTCCCATGTCCCTCACTCTGTACCCCCATCTCACAAACACATGTCACTATCCACCCATGTCCCTCTCACCTGTACCCCATCTTACTAACACCTCTCACTACCCGGCTCCATGTCCCCTCACTGTACCCCATCTACCAACACATGTCACTATCCACCCATGTCCCTCACTGTACCCCATCTACCAACACATGTCACTATCCACCCATGTCCCTTCCTCACTGTACCCCATCTACCAACACATGTCACTATCAACCCATGTCCCTCACTCGTAACCCTATCTTACCAACACATCTCACTATCAACCCATGTCCCTCACTGTACTCTTCTACCAACACATGTCACTATCCACCCATGTCCCTCTCACTCGTACCCAATCTACGAACACCTCTCACTACCCGCCCATGTCCTCTCACTGTACCCCATTTACTAACACATCTCTCACTACTCCCTCCCATGTCCCTCACTCGTACCCCATCTACCAACATGTCACTATCCACCCATGTCCTCCCTCACTCGTACCCCATCTTACCAACACCTCTCACTACTTCCACCCATGTCCCCTCACTCGTACCCCATCTACCAACACATGTCACTACTCCCTCCCATGTCCCTCACTCGTAAATTTCCCATCTCTACCAACACATCTCACTATCCGCCCATGTCCCTCACTGTACCCCATCTACCAACACATGTCACTGCTCTCCCATGTCCCCTCACTGTACCCTCCCCATCTACCAACACATGTCACTATCCACCCATGTCCTCCCTCACTCGTACCCCTATCTACCAACACCTCACTACTCCGCCCATGTCCCTCTCACTGTACCCCATCTACCAACACATGTCACTACCCACCCATGTCCCCTCACTCTGTACCCCATCTACCAACACATGTCACTACCCCTTCCATGTCCCCTCACTGTACCCCATCTACCAACACATGTCACTACCTGTGCCCATGTCCCCTCACTCGTACCCCATCTACCAACACATGTCACTATCTACCCATGTCCCTTCACTCGTACCCTATCTACCAACACATATCACTACCCACCCATGTCCCTTCACTCGTACCCCATCTTCCAACACATCTCTGGACAAGAGAATCCAGTGATCAACAGCATGAGCATCGATCTAAGCAATTGGGAACCGATGGCATGTGTCAACCAGGTCAGCAAGGCGTATACAGCGGAAATACTGAGAACAATAGCGGTTCCCCACATGACGCCATTTCAATTTGTAACAGTATAATGTACGACCCCATATACTGCTAGACACAACAAGAACTTGCTTCAGCAGATCATTCCTGTCCCGCTGTGACCGCAGTTGTGCCATACCCGTTACTGACATTGAACGTGGGAGGGTTTTGAGAGCGTGTGAAATTTCAGTTTGATCCCCGTCGTTGTTATCGTTAATTCATGGTTGCATTAAATGATGAATGCCTGTTAATGATTTTTCTTGTGTTTCAATCGTGATTGACAATTTCAAAGTCAGTAGGACAATTTCTTTTTCCTTTTATCGGGGAGATAAACGTTTCATCCAGGTGATGCGTTCCTAATGGATTTCAGTATTTATTTATAAACACCCTAAATATAAACAGTATATACTATTTTCGGACTCACTTTCGTGCCTTCAGGCTATGCAAAAGTGTCTTGTAAATGTCCACTTTTAATTGCAATGCTTGAATGGGATGATCTTGATCAGGTCAATACGTCATCGTCCTCTGCTGCTTACCCAGCCATGTTGGAATATGTAGTAACAAAATGGCCGATTCTGCTGATAAGACAAAACTCAAAACATCTGATTATAAAGCTGTCATTAGATCTTACATCTTCATCTTCGTCGAAGTGGGACACGCAATTATATTTATAAATTTAACCCAACTATCAGTTACACCTACTTGGGTTGTCGGTCCAGATTTGGAGAGGTCATTATGCAACGATGTCGCGTTGGCCAGGAAATATATGCTTATGAACATTTATTAAAAGGTGAGGCTCCTCCGTTTTTGTATCCCTTGTGATGAAATTATCATATCTTGCTTGGATGTGTTGATTTTTCAATCACAAAGGGATACATCGATTCGAATAATAAAACAGTCAAGGATCTTTAATAAAGTTAATTACCGTTGAATAATTAGGGTTTTAATAAAAATATAATTGTTGGAAAAACACTTGCTTGATGATATGTGTTGTGAATAGATCAATGGTAATTTATACTTGACAGTTTATATTAGTAACCGAGAATGTTAGAGGCTGTAAATAAACACTGATTTTCCTACAAAACCATGTCTGTACAAATATAGCCATGGAATGCTTAATGTTGAATTTATTGGTGAATGCGAACATTCAAAAGTGATTTTGCGTGTCTTACACGATTCAAAGGTAAATACCGAATGTAACCTCCATAGCTGACTGTATGACAGCCAGCACTATCCTCCTCGTACCCGCGGTCAGCCTCCTGATCCTAGGTTCTATACAGGAGGATCCCTTTGTTGCACACGACGACCAGTCATGTCCCAGATATGGTCCAAAGGGTTATGATCGGGGCTCATTGAATCGTGAGATATGTCAGGGGTGCTTAACTAAGTTCTTTGTGTATGTTTTGTTTCTTGACGGGGTGTAAGACCAGAAAACATTAAAGTTAGATTTTACTACTATCTTTAATCGCAGTATATATATGTTATTTCAATTCCTGGCTAGATGGCTACAGCTTCTAGCATCTGAAGGAGTAAATGCCCAGTTAGGGTCCATGCAGGAAGCACATGTACTGTCCCCGTGGTCCTAACTTGTTGATCTACACCTTGCCAAAGCCCTCAAAGGCATAGCAGCATTCTGCATATCAATAACGTGCCATATTTGAGCGGTTGTCAGTTAGGGGAGGCCCCGTACTTGCTAATCAATTGATTTTCCATGTTATCCATCTGTTCACTGAAGCGATACATTTTCTCAACGACAGGTACATGTATTGCACGTAATGCTCGCCTTTGATCGAAGCATGTAACGCCATCAAATAAATCAATATTATAAGGGTAATGCTATTTTTTGTTTCACAGAACTGATAGTGGCCCGTCGTTAAGGTTGAGCGTCCAATATCATTTTGCAGCGGCCCAATATCATTTGCAGCGGCCCGCAAATTTCTGATAAGAGGAGCGCCGTTTCATGATAATTCCATGTATACTGAGTCAAAAGAAACTTCACATTCTTACATCAGGGCACTATAAAAAGAACAAAAAGATGGTAAGATGGTTAAATTGGTATTATTTCATTGCTGAGATCTGTGTGATGTACTCGATACACTGACAGTGCCATAATCAGTTCCATTGGGCTACACCGCCGTTCCAAAACATGGGTATACAGAATGTCAAGTCACAAGAATAAAAATGCGAAATTTCTCAGTTCAATATCGTGTATGGCCGCCCGCGCTCATTCATCACTGCCAAACACCGTCTCCTCATCGACTGCCTGATGCTTGTGAACACGTGGTTGGGGATTCTGCGCCATTGCTCTTGCAAGGCAGCGCCAAATTCCTGCAAATTCTGAGGTTGGTTCCTAAGACCTGCGAAGCCTTCTCCCAAGTGCATCCCAAACGTGCTCTATTGGATTAAGGTCAGGGGGACCTCGATGGCCAGTCCATGCAGCGGAAGGGAAATTTCATCGTCAGCATCGCGGTATGCGGCCGAGCATTATCATGCTGGAACTGTAGACCTGGGCCATGAGCCGCCATGAAAGGAACGGTTCAGGGTGAGCACCTGGTCGCGGTGAAAGCAGCAGCTGTGAGGTTTCCACGGATGACCAGAAGTCGGGAACGGTTGTTCCACAGAAAGCACCCACACCATGCAACTTCCGCCCCCGTATCTGTCGACTTCCTGTACACAACATTGGGCATACCGTTCACGACGTCGTCTTCCAGACTCTATGCCTGCCGTCCGCGAATCTGAGGGTAAACCTGGATTCATCGCTACTGGAGACGACTCGATTCCAGTCTCTCTGGGTCCATCGGAGGTGACGTTGGGCCCACAGCCAGACGTTGACGTTGATGAAACGGCGTCAATATTGGCCCACGATATGGACGTCGAGAATGGAGATTGGCAGCCCGCAACCGATTTCGAATGGTCTGTGAGGGACAGTCGACCTCTAAACATCTCAGCCCTGGTTCGTGTAGCCGGCAGAAATCTGTCACGTAGGTGACGTAGGACGATTGACGGTCTTCTGCTCGTGACGTCACACGTGGACGACCCGACCTTGGGCGATCAGAAGTGGTGCCAGTTTGTTGTGAACGACCTCGCAAGTCATACACAGTACGACGGCTGCATCCCATTGCTCTTGCGACGTCAATAACTGATATTCCGCTTGCAACATGCCAACGGCACGTTCACGTTGCACATTTGACAATCGTGGCATTTCAAGTACCGTTAGAACTGTGGTTTAAAGTGTTTTTCAATTCTTGAAGGCCAATGCAAACACGTGCATATGAAGAAACTTCGATGCGAAGATCACGTGATCGACTGCGTGCAAAACCTGATTTGGCACTAACGTCATTTGCACGACGAATGGATGGGTTTGAGTGGGTTTTGCTAACGTTTTCTAGAGTCGAAAGATAGGGATCCCATTTCGGATACATAGATGTATCATCAGAGAAAAAAATTATTCATTATTTTTCAAATTACATTTTGTGAAGTTTCTTTTTTGACTCAGTATATGCAACCGTTCATCCTTTCAGCTTTTCTTTCACGCTGGCCGCGACTAATTTTCCCGTCTGTAAGACGCAAAGACGGGTTTATATATAACAGGGGCTTTACCCGAACGCGCAAGAGTCGCTAACTGTCGCCTTACCTCACATCATTACCATCTTGTCAGCCATGGACTCACGAACAGTAAAATGTGTCTTCACAATCGTCATGATGTTGGCCATGCAAAGTAAGTTATATCTATCTATCTATCTATCTATCTTTCTATCTATCTATCTATCTATCTATCTATCTATCTATCTATCTATCTATCTATCTATCTATCTATCTATCCCATATATATATAATCCATCTATCTATCTTTCTATCTATCTATCCATATATATATACTACCCATCAAAAGTTTAGATTCGCTTAAATCAATCACTATAAGTTATGTATGTACATATGGTTACAACGAAGATGAATTTCTCCACTAACTTGGGGAAACATCAAACCTTATTCAAAACGCGGATTATGCAGATTAATTGCACATGGATCAAGCATCAAATTGCTGAAAAGCATGTGCAAATATCTTGCATGTGAACAGCTGCGTTTGTTGTGAAGTTTTTATAAAAAAATCGCCATTTTTTCACCGAGTTTCATCATTTATTGAACACATGACAATAAACTTTTCAACGTCACGAATTTGTTTTACAATACGAGTACATCAGCCCATGTATAAACAGTACCTTTAAACTGTATGGATTACTTTACAAAATCTAGTTCAGCTGACTGAAGTAAGTGGCTACATTTACACCAGTGAGTCTAAACTTTTGATGAGGAGTATATAATATATCTATCTGTCTATCCATCATATATATATATATGTCCATGTACGTAGTTTGTATGTTCATAATGTGTGTTCAGATCAAGAAGCTATATTTATTTAAAGTGTGCTCTTGGTTTCTTCGAATGCTAATATTCTTGTCAGGTTTTCACATCATTCAATTCAAATGTTTCTCACGTTGGTGGACATTTAATACAGTGTACCAACTCTGTGTCGATCCACGAAGCGTTTGTACCTCTACGACCTGTCGCGGTCAGAGGCTTACGAATGACATAACGCTACGAACGTTTTTGTGGATCGAGCGCTGATGACATGAATAGACAAAATATTTTATCCATCCCATGATCAGGGATAATGATGTAGTTCATGATGGTCAGGGTGAAAATGTTTTGATTTAAGTATAGCATACCATGATCCAATATGTGTTCATATTCCTTGGTTTACGGTATAGCACAAATGCCCTCCTCCCCTTCACACACACACACACACACAAATGCTATCTGTACGTGTACGTTCTTGGTGTACAGTTGGCCATAGGGTCCTTCTGAAATGTTATCAATGTAATAAATCCCATACCTCACAGTTGCTATCAAGGCTATGTTCTTATATCCCCAAGGGTGTGTGGTAGCTGTGAAATATGACTATTTGCCATGAAAGGAAATATCGTTTGAATCACGAATGTGTGTAGAATTCAATGAGCATATGTTTTAAACTAGGACATATACGCTGCTATTTCGTTTATGTGCATTCACAAGGCAACATTGGTTTAAGCAAATGATAATGTCAACGATCCTTGAAAGTTCTCGGGCGAATACAAGTGAGTGAGTGAGTGAGTTGAGTCTTTACGCCGCCCTCAGCAATATTCCAGCTATATAGCGGTGGTCTGTAAATAATCAAGTCTGGACCAGACAATCCAGTGATAACAAAATGTGAGCATCGATCTGCGCAGTTGGGAACTGATGACATGTGTCAACCAAGTCAGCGAGCCTGACCACCCGATCCGTTAGTCGCCTCTTACGACAAGCATGGGTTACTGAAGATAATATTCTAACCCGGATCTTCACGGGTAGAGGAAAACAAGATTTCTCGAAATAAGCGTATCCTTCCTCCCTGGTTGCAAACACATGCAAAGTGAAGTGGTCCATTGAACAAAGGCAAAGTGACGAGAGAATACAGTAGAAAATACGTCACTATACTGTATAGTTATTCATCCAGCGGTGCGATTTGATACAACCTCAGAACTAATCATAAGGAGTGAGTGAGTTTGGTTTTAGGCCGCTTTCAGCAATATTCCAGCAATATCACGGCGGGGAGTGTATGTGTGTGTGTGGGGGCGGCAACAGAAATGGGCTTCACACCTTGTACCCATGAGGGGAATCGAACCCATGTCTTCGGTATGGCTAGGGAGCGCTTTAACCACCGGGCTAAACGATCGCCCCTCTAATCAGAAGGCAGCCTCATTATATATACATTCATGTTTCAGCTGGGGATGGAGAATGCCGGACTTTGAGGAGAAAACGATTCGCCCCAATTGTAACGTTCATCGCCAAATTTGCCGTCCAGGAATTGATGTCCTTTGGTATTGATGCTCTGATAGATCACGCCGAACAAGCCAGCACTACTGAGAAATTGGAAACCATTTTGCAGATTCTCAATTCGATGATAGTATGTAACATATTATCTCTTCAGCACACATCATAAAACAACATTCCTAACTGTCTATTACAATTGAAACGTACATTGCGTTGTTTGTATAGAGGGGCTTTGAGGTAGCCTAGAGGTTACAGCCATTGCTCGTCACGCTGAAGAGGAGATTTCTATTCTCTAAAGCTGTACAATATTTAATGTGTGAAGCCCGTTTCTTGTGTCCTCCTCCATGACATTGTGGGAATGTTGCTAATAGCGGTACCGGTGTTAAAGATAACTAACTTACTCATAGTGAAAATTTGGTTTCGCTTTTCCAAATAATTAATTTCTCAATGTCTTTCAGTGGGATTTAGAATTTGTACATTGATGTCCAAGATATTTTTATGGACTTAATTAAAAAGAAGTTTAATCCATAAAAATATCTTGAAAATAAAGTTCTCATTCATTTCAGGAAACACATGAAGATTTCCTCAAGAAACTAAACGAACTGAAGGAACTGTCAACTATACAGGATGCAGAAGAGATTGAACGAAGTCTACTTGTTATTTTTGAACATTTTGACACATTCATTAAGTCTTCTAAAGCGTGCTTGCAGGCAAATACAACCAACAGCTGTACCCAAACCCTGGAGCACGAAAAAGAAACCCTGAAAAACGATCTGAGGAGAATACCAAGCTTGTTAACAGAACTACATTTGGTAATCAAGGGGTTCAGCGTAGTATCTGCAGGACGAAACTCTGGCCTAGCATGTGATTTTGTTAGACACGTTCTCAGGGAAATTCAAGCAGCCACAACACAAAACTACAATCTTGCTCGAAGCCTGGTCGATATCAGCAATTACAAGGACGAACTGATGAAACTCCAGGTTAACTCCTATCAGCTGTACAACCTTACCTGTACTTCAAACAACCCAACCTGTTCTGTAGTGAGGACAAAATTGGAGGATCAATTACGACTTCAAAACGAAAGATTTCAGAGTTGCACGCCTCAGTATTTCTCACAGCTGCAGAACATAAACATCGTCCATCCTAAAACCGGCACAGTTTTGTATACCAATCAGAAGAATTCTATTGTGATCGATGGTTCTTTTGATTGGGACAAAATCGCCAGACCACAAGATGCAGGACTGCGATGTCCAAAGGGAGATTCTAGTGAGGTATTCTCTTGGGAGGATGCATCGCCCGATAGAAGATCTGGCTTTTACCTGAGACAGAAGAGTGGATGCTATTTGAGTTTCGATAGACCATTTCTGAACTATGAGAAAGTGTTTCCAACTTTGTGGGCAGACAAAGATCGAATAGACAGGAAAGAGTTCCTGATCTGTAAACCCTCCAAACAGGATGCAGTAACATTTATGATAACTGCAGCTGAAGCAGACTCCGACACAACATACAGCTTCAAAGAAGTAGAAACTGGAAAATACTTGAACGTTCACGCTGAACAAACAAGTGTTAATAATGAGATTGACAGGAGGCTGAACTTGGTACTCTTTCTCCACAAAGACCAGTTCTACTGGAAACAGGCACTGAGTGGATCAAATAATAGAACATGCGATGGTAAGATATCATAAAAGGAAGACATATATGTGCTCGGAAGAAGTGAAATCATCAAGTAAATCTTGTCATTATCATTTTTACTTTTGTAATTGACATCTAAAAACATTGCAACACGTGGTATTATACATGTGCAACAGGTACACTATGAGAAGCCAGATTTTGTATAGCGCCCTGATAGTGCTGGGAGGTGTCACTCTCCACCCACTACTCTAATCAATGATCACAAGAGACCATATTTTACACTCAATGATGACGCGTTTGTGCTGAATTGATTACTTTGGTAGTTTGTTTCAACCAGTCTGTTTGTTTCAGAAGCATCAACTGTTGCAGCAACAGACACACCTGATGGAAACTACCTCGGACTAATCATCGGAATACCCGTGGGGGTGGTTGCCCTAATCATTATAGCCGTGTGTTGCTGGTGTTGCTGTCGCAAGTGATCGACTCCCAAACCCAACAATTTAGAAAAAATTATGTCCATCTACGGGATTTAGTTTTCAATACTTTGAAAAATGCATTGTGAAATACAAACATTAGATATTTTAACTTTGATCCTTAAGTTTTGAAAAGGTAGGTAGGGTAAATGTTGATACTGTATAGCCCTGAAACAAGAAGGACTGTCGACGTTTCTTGTGGAAGATATTAGGTTTTAGTCGACCAGCTACTTTTTGTTGCTGAAATTTATGTCTGTTGGCTTTGGGGTATGAGTAAAGCTGTCTGTCTTTTTATGTTTTCCGTCTCTTGCGCGTCCAGAATGTTCATTCAACGTTAAATAATCAAAATGGTTTTGAATCTCTTTTTACCCCCAAAGGGTATACCCTGATGTGTTATTAAAAGATACTTTCACTCTTTCACATACGTAAGAAGCAAACAGGTCAGTTTGATGTTTCTACATCTGCTGAAGCAAAGCGACTTGATCTGCATCACTATTACCACGCGATCGAAATTTTATAATTTCAACATGTTACGCAATTAAAACGTGTTTTCGCCCGCTCGCTCCCTTGTTGTTTGAGATTAGAGATAAGGAACGCAGGGACAAGTATGAATGGGCTGATGTTGTGGATCCATAGTTGCACCCACTGTGTCACAATCTGACTGATCACCGTAAAACTGTCCTTTGTGGGAACAGGATACACTAGCACATGCGTATATTCAGAGTAGGTCACACTGTTGAAATTTGAACAGCTTCTTCTATATCCTTTTTGTCCCTGGATACTAAACATGATTGTTCAGCCTTACATACGTCGCTATTGGTTTTCTAAGCCCTATTTAAGCTCACTGACCTTTGTCATGTGTCTTCACGATCCAATACCCCAGATACTTCCAAATATAACTCTAAAACATATTCACATAGCTCTCTAGGGTTTTGTTGTTATTGTTCAGTTAGTTTACAGTAGTCGATACAATGGAAATTTTTGCCAATTTGTAGTGATTGTAAAGCAAATGTTTATGCTTGCGATCTTTGCTTTCATAACGTTTGTACATGTACATAATATCTAAAGCTATGATTTTAAGTGTATATATGCTGTATATATCAATTAAGTCAACATACAGGAGAAGAGAAATATAGGTTAAGTCACCATACAGGAGGTCTTTGCTTTCATTACGTTTGTACATGTACATAATATCTAAAACTATGATTGTAAGTGTATATATGTTGGACATATCAATTAAGTCAACATAGGTTAAGTCAACGTAGAGTAGATCCTTGCTTTCATAACGTTTGTACATGTAGATAATACCTAAAGCGATGATTTTAAGTGTATATATGTTGTACATATCAATTAAGTCAACATACAGGAGAGAGATATATTAAATATAGGCTTAGTCAACGTAGAGTAGATCCTCGCTTTCATAACGTTTGTACATATACATAATGTCTAAAGCTATGATTTTAAGTGTATATATGTTGGACAATAAAAAGAGATTCTTTGTAATGTTTGAGTGAAACAATGTAATCATCACTGAAGAAAACCAATTCGACATTTTCCTGGAACAACGAACAATATGAAACTGCTTCATTTCCAGGAAATATCTATCAAATGAACACGCAAGAAAGATCCAGTGGTATGTTCAGTTAGAGCCTCAGAAGTCTCACATTAAGCTTTTGGCGTTCAAGGTCTGTGGGTGGGTGTCGCTGTGTGTACATGAATGCAACACAACTCCTGGTTATACCAAAACAGTCGGACTGAGTGAGTTGGGTTTAACGGCGTTTTAGCAATATCACGGTGGTGGAGACCTGAAATGGGCTTCACGCATTTTATAGTCTTCGGCGTGACGAGCGAACAATTCTACCCCAGCGCCCACAGAACAGTCTCCCATGTAAAAGAATACAAGCACGTATCTCGTGGAAATGAAGTATTGGATTCTTTATGAATATATGTGTTTAGATTGAGCGTAAACACATTCTCTAGTAGAAGGATTTGACAGGGATGAGACAATACTTAAGTGTTGTTATTGTGGAAGTGTAAACATTAACATTTTTATCAAAATATGATTTGTAGGATCATAGTGAAAACACATATATTTCATGGAACAACGAATAATGTGAAATTACTACTGTACGAAGAAATATCGATTACGTCAACATACAGGAGAACGAGATATTGCAGGTAGAAATGCAATATGGTGTGGTGGCATTTTCTTCACAAATCAAGTGTTCATTGGTGTGAATCTGAATTTGTGCAGGTAGAAATGCAATTTGGTATGGTGGCATTTTGTTCACAAATCAAGTGTTCATTGGTGTGAATCTGACGTGGTGCAGGTAGAAATGCAATTTGGTATAGCGGAATGTCCTTCTCAATTCAAGTGTCATTCGTGTGAATCTGACGTGGTGAAGGTAGAAAGGCAAGTTGGTATGGTGGCAGTTTCTTCTCAAATCAATTGTTCATTGGTGTGAATCTGACGTGGTGAAGGTAGAAAGGCAATTTGGTATGGTGGAATTTTCTTCACAAATCAAGTGTTCATTGGTGTGAATCTGACGTGGTGTAGGTAGAAAGGCAATTTGGTATGGTGACATTGTTTTCACAAATCAAATGTTCATTGGTGTGAAGACCAGACGAAACCAAACTACAGGGCCAGTACAGTCATGGTGTCTCCACATGTGTCACAGCTAGGAATAGTGCTGTTAAAGAGCCCATCATACAGTGAACTGAGGAAGACATACATAAAACTATTCTATTTTCAAAATCCAGCGGTGAACATACTAAAAGCTCTGCTACAATCAGTTGGAAAAACTACTTTGAAGAATTTGTGTTATTTTCTTCTAAAGTGACACGCCTTATTACAAAAAATCAGAATTAAGGCATGCTGTCTATCTATTTCATGTGTGTAAAGGTATTTTTGGCCAGCGGCCTTATACTGAAATAAAATATGTCTTTCTGTTAAAAATAAATAGTTGAAAACCACGCTCATTGAAACACACTGTCACACAGCAGCCCACAATGCCTCTCAAATATTACAGGAGACAATTCTCATTTATACCATTTATTAACTCTCAGAACAAGGTGTTGGTATTTTCGGCACCTCTTTCTGGGATAAAGCATCTGAAACAAAAACATGAAATGCAAATTGTAATTTCATTTATTACGGTAACTGTTATCTAAGAAGAATTGGACGGGAATATTTTAGTGATTTAAATGTATGGACTACATTCCATTTTCTGTTTCGAATTCATTCCAATGACGACTGACGTATATTCTTTCTCCACCAAATGAAAGCAAAATGCCTCAAAAGATGTACTTATAGTTAATATATTGATAAGAAAACGGACGAGTCTTTCAGTACCATAGTGGAGGTCGTGGGTATCAGCAGAGTGGTGTAATACCTAAACCCTGTGTCTCTAGTTTCCCTATAACTGAACCACTTCATTTATTCTACTTACTAATGGCGACATGAACAGGTTCCAGCAACGTCATCTGGGTGCCGGTCACAATGATGTCCGTTGTGACAATTGTCACAGTTGCTGCAGTCGTGGTCGCTGTGGCAAATACCGTTACACTGGGCATCAGCTTCAATGCAGAAACATAAATGTATAGAAAATCACACGGAAAGAAACGAAGGTGAAGTCACAAATGTAAGAATTATAGTACAAATAGTTGAGTGAGTGAGTTGGATTTTACGCCGTTCTTAGCAATGTTCCAGCAATATCACAGTGGGGGAACACCAGAAATGGTCTTCCCATACTGCACCCATATGGGGAATCGAACCCGGCCCTCCGGCGTGACGAGCGGACGCTTTAACCGCTTTTTCTGCTCCACCGCCCCAACAAATAGTTGAATGGTCTCCTAATTTCTTAATCTGTTAACATCCTGCCAGACGGGTTATTTTAATTAGTTTGAAAACAGCATATCTTGGAGCAAGATATCTCCATGCAATCTATTCAAAGCGTTTGATAAAAATATCTATGACCAAAACGTTTAGTACAATATAGACAAACTTTATGGATAACAACTTCTATATTTCGTGAGTGCAACGTTGCGATACAGATTCTTGTATCGTAGTCATTTTGTCTTCTTTTCTCCAAATCTGTTAACATTATTATTGTCCATCTAATAACACTGAATGATTCAGTCCACTTCACCGATGGGATGTTTCATGACACAATCACCACTATGACTAAAGAGGTCATATGTTGGGGCGGCGTGGTAGCCTAGTGGTTAAAGCGTTCGCTCATCACGCTGAAAGCCCGGGTTTGATTCCCTACATGGGTACAATGTGTGAAGCCCATTTCTGGATATTGCTGAAATATTGCTAAAAGAGGCGTAAAATTCAAACTCACTCACTCATATGTTAAAGCAGGGATACTCTACAACAGGCCCCTTATAGAGTCTCCCTGGTTAAAGCGATGTCTGTCCCACACATCACATTACAGAAGATGACAAATGTCCGGTGTGGTTACATGGTCAACAACGTTGAAGACGACAGTCGTGTTCTAACGAGTAAAGTCAAAGCAGTGGATCCCTTATTCTAAATCGTCAACGAATCAAAACAATTTAGTATGACAATTCTGAAGCAGTCACCACAATACCTACGGGAGGTGCCCCGTGAAACTTCAAGTAAGAATAGGTCTTCAGCAACCCATGCTCGTCGTAAAAGGCGACTATCGGATCGGGTGGTCAGGCTCGCTGACTTGGTTTCCCACCGTGATATTACTGGGATATTGCTAAAAGCGGCGTAAGGCCATATTCACTCGCTCACTCTGGTCAACACCGTTTAAGAAGTGCTCTCACAGGTAATATCAAAAGTCATGCGTTCTCCACAAAGACATCAGAAAATTGCGATATTTTAACAGTTCTTTGATGACTCTCTATGCATGTTACAAAATAATTACTAGCGTTCCAGAAGCACAATGGTGTGTGAGTAGAGTCAAACAAAGAAACAAGTATTTACTCACCGACAAATGCTGACCCAATGAGCATGACAGAGACGAGGAGAATCAGAAAAGCAGCCTTCATTGTGGATGAATGAATGCCCAGATGTCCCCACAGTTGCCTTTATACACCGTGGCTCGTGACAACAATAATCTTCCCTTGTACAAATCGTGTTATCTTTTTCAGCAATGTAGACCATAGTTGTCCCAGACCAGTTTTCACAAAAACATGATTCCTTCTCCCACGCTCGACTTTTTCTTGGAATGACCTAACGAAATCAGAACAAGTGAACATACGTTCCTCAGTAATGGCTTGGTGTAATTGTTTGTTTATGCTTCGAGTACTATCTCTTTGTTTAAATAGTTTCTCGTTACTTCAAGTTTCTTTCAAACACTGGAGTATTTTCGCCATATTTTGATGACTTTCGCATTGCTTTTTCATCTGCTCTGACTTCAGTTGTGTATAGCCAAAATGTGTTAGAACACACCAAATGCTTATTCCGTTTTTGGATTTAAACACATTCCTAGACATATTTACATCAAATCGTGTCTTGTATAAACACATTTTACAATGTACCAAATGTCGGAAAATTAAATCTACATCATTAATTATCATAGACTTCGTATACATTCAATATCTGCACACATCTAATTCTATTCGTTACACAGTTATTTATCTGGTCTCTGTTCTACAAAGTCCTGATAACGGGTCTGGTCAGTGTTCTGCACGTCCTGATGACGGGTCTGGTCAGTGTTCTACATGGCCTGATGACGGGCCTGGTCAGTGTTCTACATGGCCTGATGACGGGTCTGGTCAGTGTTCCACATGGCCTGATGACGGGTCTGGTCAGTGTTCCACATGGCCTGATGACGGGTCTGGTCAGTGTTCCACATGGCCTGATGACGGGTCTGGTCAGTGTTCCACATGGCCTGATGACGGGTCTGGTCAGTGTTCCACATGGCCTGATGACGGGTCTGGTCAGTGTTCCACATGGCCTGATGACGGGTCTGGTCAGTGTTCCACATGGCCTGATGACGGGTCTGGTCAGTGTTCCACATGGCCTGATGACGGGTCTGGTCAGTGTTCCACATGGCCTGATGACGGGTCTGGTCAGTGTTCCACATGGCCTGATGACGGGTCTGGTCAGTGTTTCACATGGCCTGATGACGGGTCTGGTCGATGTTCTACACGTCCTGATGACGGGTCTGGTCGATGTTCTACAAGTCCTGATGACGGGTCTGGTCAGTGTTCCACATGGCCTGATGACGGGTCTGGTCGATGTTCTACAAGTCCTGATGACGGGTCTGGTCGATGTTCTACAAGTCCTGATGACGGGTCTGGTCAGTGTTCAACACGGCCTCATGACGGGCCTGGTCCTGATGACGGGTCTGGTCCTGATGACGGGTCTGGTCAGTGTTCCACATGGCCTGATGACGGATCTGGTCAGTGTTCTACAAGTACTGATGACGGGTCTAATCGGTGTTCTACAAGTCCTAATGACGGGTCTGGTCCTGATGACGGATCTGGTCAGTGTTCTACAAGTACTGATGACGGGTCTAATCGGTGTTCTACAAGTCCTAATGACGGGTCTGGTCCTGATGACGGATCTGGTCAGTGTTCAACACAGCCTCATGGTGGGTCTGGTCCTGATGACGGGTCTGGTCAGTGTTCTGCACGGCCTGATGACGGGTCTGGTCAGTGGTCTGCCCGTCCCGATGACGGGTCTGGTCAGTGTTCAACACGGCCTGATGGCGGGTCTGGTCCTGATGACGGGTCTGGTCAGTGGTCTGCACGGCCTGATGACGGGTCTGGTCAGTGGTCTGCACGGCCTGATGACGGGTCTGGTCAGTGGTCTGCACGGCCTGATGACGGGTCTGGTCCTGATGACGGATCTGGTCAATATTCTGAACGCCTTGATGACGTGTTTCCCCAGTGTCCTAGATGGCATGATAATGTTACGAAAACAAGCAACCCTCCTTCCTCTACCACAAATAGATCGTGTAGATACTACTATTATATGTAGTGCTTGTATCACAACGGGTATATACGCGGTTTTGTGCGTCCAGTAATAGCTAGGTTTCATCCCAGGTGTTGGAGCCGATTTATTCCATAAATACAACAACATACAACATATATATTTTGCCAACATATTCCATTGTGCCATTTTTAATTATTAAAACAAAATTTGAAAATTCAATTTGTGATGAGACTAACCAGTGCATGGTCACGTGACTTTCATTGATTTGCAGCATACAATGTGCATCGAAACGATGTACGACTGGTACATTGTTTCTAGCAATGCCATATTAGCAGATTGTGGTAGATATTGTATAAGTGTTGATTATCATGTTAAATGTGCACGTTACTGGTGTATATTACTTCATATGTCTGAAGACAGGTATCCTAAACAATGTTATATTTTCATGAAAAATCTCAACTCAGCTGGTAGATATACTTGGGCATCATATGTAAAAAGTCTGTTAAACATCAACGGGTTTGGATTTGTGTGGTTTAGTCATGATGTTGGCAATATTAATCATTTTATATCCGTGTTCAAACAGAGGCTTATTCATGTAAAGGGGCAAAGCATATTGAGTAGAATTAATGAATCATCGCATTTAGCTTACTACTAGACCATTAAATCTTTATTGGATACAGAGTTTTATGTTTCAAGTGTACATTTTAAAGAATATAGACTTAGACTTCATCACCTACCCCTTCTTTGTAATGTGAGACGAAAAGATGATAATTATGCCTCAACAATATGTAAAATGTGTAACAATAACATCCCAGAGGATGAATTACATTTTCTTTTTGTCTGTGATGCATATGTTATGTTACATAGTATACAGTACAACCAGAAATTATTGAGAATTTAAGATTGTTAATTTTTGTTTAAATTTCACTCATTACTCACGTATTAAATGTGAATATTAGCAGAACATAACTCCAGACTCAAAGACAGGTGAACAGTTAGTATTTTGTCAAGTCACCATGGGCAGCAATGCAGGCTTCAATGAGGCAGGGCATACTACTGATCAAAGAAGTTAGAAAGTCGTGGTCCATGCTGTCCCAATATCGGACCACCTCTTCTTTCATTTCAGCAATATTTGTCAGATGTTTCCCCATAAGTCCCCAAACATTTTCTATTGGATTTAGGTCAGAGCTATAGCTTGGCCAATCTAATAATGTCATATTTTGGGTCCGAAACCAGGCCTGTGAATGCTTTGAACGATGTTTTGGGTCGTTGTCCTGCTGGAAAATCCAAAATTTCCATAGAACACGTGAGCAGATGGAAGTAAATGTCCCTTGAGAATATCTGTGTACCGCTCACTGTTCATATTCCCTTCAAATACAGAGAGGGGCGTTGCCCCTAACACATATATGCCACCCCACACGTTAAATTTCAGACTGTACTTTGGGCGCTGATACAAATGATTTTCAGTTTGTTTGGTCCAGAATTTCAGTGTATTAGGAAACAGCCACACAGAACTTTCATCTGAGAAAATCACATTGTCCCAGTTAAAATTTCTATGCTGTAAGCACCAGTTCAACCTTCGCTCCTTTTGTCCAGGTTTCATGATCGGTGATGGAATTCCTCGACTTTTCTGCCAACCCATTGCATGCAGCTCAGTTCTAATTGTCTCCTTACAGACAGACACAGTTCCTCTATCAATCTTATCCAGCCTTAAGATTTCTAAACTGTTTCGTTTGTTTTTAGAAACAAGAATACCAAGCCGCCTCATGTCACCGACAGTCAATTTTCTGGGCCTACCTGCGCCTCCCTGGTGCTCAATGCCATATCCATTTGCAATATTTTTCAAAACACGATAAACAGTGGATAAAGGGATGCCTGTTCTACTTGAAATCACTTTAGCTGATCTGATGTCCTTGTTATAATACTCTTAAATCAACTTCCTCTTCTCTAAATCATCCATACTGAGGATCACTGAAAATGTCGTCTGCTAGCAAGTAAACAAAGGGGGGATAACTCTTCACAAACTAATGAAAAAGGATTAACGGAGTTGTCTCTCTTGAATAAAACCAAGCACTTGATAGCTGGTCAAGGTTGTTTATACTAGAAATCCAATTAAACATATTCCTAAAATTCTCAATAATTTCTGGTCATACTATATCTACCAAATTTTGATCAATGTCCAACTATCATTAAGTTCAAAAAAATTAATGCAATGTAATGATACCAGTATTCTTCTAAAAACTGTGCAGTTTATTAAGCATGCCCTCGTGATCAGATCAAATGTGTGTAAATAATGTGTAACCTTGTATATTGCCTTGTCTAAAATGATATTTTGTATCCTCTGATTGTACATGGGCCGATGGCCTACTTACAGAAAATAAATTCATATCATATCATACGTAAGGTATACATTCTCCCACTCTGGGGCGTATTTCGCTCACAGGCGGGATACATTGCATTGTAAAGATCGTGTGAACAAATGAGATCAGATCTTAACATTCTAACAACGAAGATAGAATGTTTAGTGTATATATCCATCCATCGACAATCTACATCAAGTGTTACATTAATTACAAATAAACCACAATAAAATATTAGTATATACAAAATTTATCCAGAATGGAAATTATTTTTGCACATAAAATGAAATTAAAAATACACGAATATGAAAACACACCCCTTTGAAAACATGTCATATTTGTTGCCCAGTATAAACCAAATTTAACCTTGCAATGACGTGTGGTGGCAAAGCTTGCGTTAGGGGCTACATACGAGCACTAGTTGCTCACTGCCCGTGGGAAGGTCTGAGAGACAAGCCGTCAACCCTCTAGCAGGGGGCCTCTGTGATCAGGGGGTGGGTCACCAGAAATAGGTCCAGTGGGGTGTGTTGAGGCAGGCGAAGCCGCGGCTGATGCTGTACACCTTCACTGTGAATGAGAGCGACTCATGGCTGGCAAAACTAAGTTCAATATGCAAGGTGGCACATCGTGCCATACCTCGATTCAGACTACTCTGCTACCACTCATTTTACCGATGACAGTTTTCAACCACCATTGCCGTATCGGGTTGAAACAGGGCCTTTATTTTGATGCATTTACCATCTCCGAGTGTATTTTTCAGTCTTAATCTAATATCTGTTTATGGCCCGGTTTGTCAAGACGATCCCAAAGATTCCATACAAATCAAGATAAAATATAATCTCCGCACTAGAAAAGATTTAGAGCAGAGAATCTGTGGCAATTCCTTGAAAGTGGTATGC